AATGTGAGTTTTGAAATTGCTTAGGTTCCTGATGAGGCCTCCATCGCCTATTATTTCAGAGGAAATTGCGAAGCCCATATTGCCGGGGCGATACCCCCTCTACCCACCGCATATGCTTTGATTTAATTGGATGGCAGGAATTGCAGTTGAATTAAGTGGATTGCTTCAGCAGCGTCGTGGTAATTTGGGAAGTGCTGGAAGTCTAATTTTGTTCACCGCGTTATTGCAACAGCTCTGCCACCGCCTGCACGTTGGGTTACAGGCACAAAACTTTGTTTGACTGAACAGGACAAAAGGCAGTTTACTTATGTGGCATAAAATTGATGACAATGCAAACCGAGTATTTAATTTCATGAGGTCCGAACAGGTCAAACATTAGAGGGTGAAGTAGGATCAAGTATTGAATAATTATTGAATAATTACCTTATTATCAAATATATTTCCTTTTAAACCCTTATACTTCTATATTTTTCTATTTTGACATTTGTATATATTTCTTTTGTGTTTATTTTAAGTTTCTCAAAACTTTTAAGACTGTTTTTTTCAATCCCATTTAGTTGTTGGATGCAGCAGAACCATGACAGAACCATGATTTCTCCACCTGACTCATCTAAAACAATAAAGAAACAAACAAACTGAAGGACACACAAACACTTATCTTCCTCCTCTCCCTTTGGAAAAGCCCGATCAGCAGCCGGGATGATTTAAACTCTGATAACGTCTCCTCGGCTCAATGAATCCTGGTTATTGACGATACCCCTCCGTCGTCTGGATCTCATTATCAAAGTGTCTTCAGAGGAGACTAATTGAATTAGCGCCGGGATCTGTAATTGAAAGCTCGCTTTGAAAGATGCATTGTGGCCTCGCACGGTTCTGAGTGTCGACATCCATCAAACGTGTCAGTGTCGGGACTGTCTGCAGCATTGTCGGCTCATTTGATTCTTAATCAATGGCTTTAGATACCGGTACCAGCTGGATGCAGATTCCCCCTCAGAGCTGGTATCATCTCGACCTCCGACACCAGCGTCGGTGCAGCGGCATGTCCGACCTCGGCGACTCAACCTAGCGAATAACACACAGAAGGTCCCGTTTGGTCATCACATTCTCAGACACAATGAAATGTGGCTGGGTCCAGTTCAATGATTGTTTTTCTGGGATTGTGAAAATGGACTTCGTGAGATGAGCCCACCTGGGGCCCTGTGTGGGTGTGTGTGTGTGTGTGTGTGTGCGTGTGCATGTCACCTCATAAGTAATTGAACAGTTTTTTTTCGGTGCCTCTTCCTGAGAGGGGTCGCTCACCCACTGACCCAAAACCCATTTCAGGCTCCTTTGTTTTTGTTTCTCTTTTATCCGTGTGCTGATATTTGTTCTATTTTTTATCTTCATCAAACATCAGAGTTGTTTCCTGTTCCGTGAGATGTTTCCTCTTAAATTTTCTATTGGTGCAGTTTGAGTTTCTGGTGCACAAGTCGTACCTGGATTCATCGTAATCTTCTTCATCAGAGGATTTTTCCTACAGGAGGAGATTTTGAAAAACATGTTTACAAAGATGGAAGAAGATGGCGTCCGGTCTTACTTCAGCTCTAATTCCGTCTTTCATCTCTGTCCCCTGGTCCCTCTCAGACCCAGATGGTTTGTCAGGTCTTCAGGTTAGAGGTCAGAGGTTAAGGCCAATTTATATTCTCTGGTTCAGTGTTTCATCCTGTTGAGAGCATATGGAGCTCTGCTTGAGAGGACACTGATCCCTCTGATGGATGTGTGTGCATCTGCGTTTGACACCAGAGTTGAGTTTTACTTTTGTCACTTTATCTCTTCAAGGAGACATTTGAGGCTTTTCCAGTTTTCTGTGTAAAAATGCTGCTTGAAGTTAAAGCAGAGGCACGGGTCTAACATCTAAAATGTTAAAAATCAACTTAAGAAGTCTGAAGTAATTTATAACTATCAGAAAACTATAAACTCGTAGAAACTACCTGATTAAACATTGAGTAAATAAGACATAATATCGGAGCAGAAATTCTTTGACAGCTGTCGAGGGATGATGCACAGCGTGTAGCTCCAAAAGTCGTGGGTACAAATAAAACTTCCTCGTGTAAACTAAAAACCATCCACAGGGAAAACCCAGTGAAGGTTAACTCTTCCACCTGCTGTTTACTCGAATAAACATTTGCCAAACTTGGGAAAACCTGCCAGTTTTCAAAGTGTGTGATACTTCAGCTCACGGTGTCGACTTGTTTGTGTGAAATTCTGCATGCCGTGAGATGTTAGCAGTTTTTGTGCCCGCACTTGTTTTGAACTTTGACGTCACTCAAAAGGAAAAGTTGTGAAGACATCAAACCTTGTGATGGAAAACTTTCCACAGCGTAATGCTATCGATAAGTGATCATTCATATTTAAACAGATTTGGATTTTTTTTTTAAATGTAGCTCTGACAGGATCCAGGTGCGATCACAGCGAATGAAGTATAGCTCAAATGTTTCTGGATGTTTTTTTTCTGGATTTTAAAAATGTATGCACACCGTCTCATTTCAGATTTATTCCGCTTCACAATGTTTGCTCTTTGTCTCCGGAGATTTTTGTCCTGAAGAAGAATCATTCCTGCAAATATAACTCACTCCTCCCCCTCCCTGCCCGAGCGTCTGGATACAAGCATTCACGTCAGGTTGTCAGTGACAATGTGGTCAAAGTGGCAGGAAAGCCGAGCGGGCAGCACTTCATTAATGTGCAGCATTACTCTGCTCGCTCTCCCTCCCGTACGTGCACACTCGGCCCAGACCACTTCATTTGGTCTGAGAGATAGAAAGGACAGGCCCCAATGGATTCTCCGATTAATCTTTAATGAGCCCTCAGGCCTGAAAACCGCCCGCCCGCCTCTTTCTCCACATCCAGGAAACAAACAATGACTCGACTGGAAAACACATCGGCCGACCATCATCGTACCTGCCTCCCCCCCCGTCTGCCTGCGAGCCATTAACCCCCCCGACTCAGCCCTGAATTATTAATGTGGCTATCCGTCTCTCTGCTCGCGCGGCAAACGGGAATGGGCGACGCCTTGATGGTGTGGTTAAAGTGTCTCCCACCGGACATCGGCAGGGTGGGGCCGCGGGGGGGGGGGGCGGAGTAAAGCGGATTCATTCCGTCAGTCAAACAGCTTCTCACAACAACTCACGGAGTCACTGTCACAGGTTGAGGTGATGATGGAGTCAGGAAGTCTTTCTGGGTCGTGGCCGAGAGACACGACTCGCAACTCCACTACAACCTGACGACTCTGGAGAGAAAGAGCTAGAATGAATTTGTCTTTTTAAGCCAGTCGTCATTTGTTTTTATTCGTTTTGCCAGAATCTTAAGGGACTCGTGTCTCTGTGAAGCTAACCTGATGCTAACCCATGTGATGCTGAAGATCGTTTAGTCTGATTGAAAGCTCCAGAACAGCTACAACATGATCCGTAGATTGTTTCTATCCTTTAACAAGAAGCAACAAGTTGTGCACGAATGTGAGAAAAACAATAACAGAATTAGATACTGGCTAATTTCCTTAATCTGCTTATTATAATTATCTCGTTCCAGAGTTGATTAGATGTTTATTACCCTTTTGAACGCTGCTGCAAATACATATATAAAACTGTAAATCCCGTCTTTACCAGACGGTTAAATATTAATAATTATGTCTGTTTGTTTAGATTTTAATTCCTCCCTCATCATTAGCTTTAGTTTTCTTCATTGTCTCCCACACACATCGTCTCTGTCTGGGTTCAGAATGGAATCGTTGGTGTGTGGACAGGTTCTTCAGAGATGTAGCATATTGAAATAAATTGTTCTGTGATGAATGCGGACTCCCCCTCTCGCTCTGATCCGCCAGCGTCTCCTGATGAATATTGAATCGTGTTAGATGTGTTTCTGAGGCTCTTTGACTTGTTATTGTCTCTCTGTCTGCTCTCAGTGTTAAAACCATCTGGATCGTCCGTACATTCAAGAGAAGAGTGTCTGTGCGGCTCTAGTAAATAAATCATAGGCGAGCGCATTTTTGGCAACGTAGAAAAAGACTTTCAGGAATGTTGTTTTTATAAATGTGCTCCGTCCTTGGAATTCAGTCCTGCTGTCCGACGATCTGAGACACGTCTTTGAAGAAACACGCCGTGTTTAGTCTGGAGATCAAGAAACAACAATTCAATATTCTTCTTGACTGAGGATTTACAGCTCGTAGATGGACGAATATTAAGTCCTCAGCATTTTTAGTCTCATACACTTTATATCCTGGTGGACGGCCTGTAAATGTTGAATTGTGAATAAAGACGGGTGGAGTGAGAAGAGGAGAGACACCTCTACTTTACTTACTTTCTTACTTTCCTCGAAAAGTGACCCGTGTTCAAATGCTTTTAATGAATCAACATAGAGTTTCTTAGTTTGGATTAACTCTGGATATCCAAGGTTTGCTGAAGATAAGTTCATTTTTAGTTTGATTTATAAATTACTAAGGCAAAAATAAACAGATTGGAAGATGGTGGCCTCCGTAGAGAGGACCCGCTCCCGATGTAAATATAAAGTATTCAAATATAAAGTATTTAACTATGAAGTATTTAACTATGAAGGGCTCATTCTAGGGTAAAGAAAACAACAATTTGTACAATTTAGATGAAACCCACGAGTGAAAACATCAGTAGGATTATTTTCTATTCAATTCCTGTCAGTAGATCCTTTCACCTAAATCTTACACACTGAACCTTTAAATTTATGTCTTATGATAATTGTTCTGATGTAAATATTGTCGTCTCTGTCAGAACAGTGAGTCTGACGTGTTGTGTTTTCTGTTTTCATTGTGACAGTGCGGCCTTTGAGCGAGCAGGAGTCGACTGTTAAATTAAAAGACAGCGCTCACAAGTCCTTGCACGCCGTTACACACACACACACACACACACACACACACACACACACACACACACACACACACACACTGCCCCTGTAGCTCCACGTCCTCCAGGAACCCAAAGTGTCATGGCAACCGTATGGCAGCCACGGTAACGGCAGGCTCATTTTCATACTGATGAGGTGGCCAGTTGCCGGGGAGGCCTCTGCTGCTGCTCCGCGCTCGTCTCTCCTCTCCGATGTCGCCCTGAAATTTTAATGACCTTCTTTGTCTGCATCTCGTTTTTCTCCTCTTCGCTCGCTCTTCTGTGTGTGTGTGTGTGTGTGTGTGTGTGTCATGAGCCTCGGTATTCAAACAGACACGCACCAAGTGTCTATAGTTAATACAAGACGAGAACAGAGGCAGTGTAATTTAAAGGACATGTATTTTTATACCTGTGGAAGGCCTCCTCCAGTCTGTTCCTCCTGGCTTCATCAGGTCCGAAGCTCAGCCGCCGCTTTAGCTTTTTTTAGCTGGTGAACAGTGTTTGTGTTCAAAGGTTTTTGGACCTTAAGTGTGTCGACACCTAACAGGAAGTCGGGTAACGAGCTGGAGAGGATCCGACGACACACAGACTTGAAATCTGATATTTGGGAACAAGTGGTCGTCTTATCCTGTGTAAAATGTGCCGTTGTTAAGTTTTCACTGTCTGATATTTGTCGTGATGTCGTAATGTGATGATGTGACGGCGGCGGCGGCAAAGGTTTCGGCTTCAAACCCACGTGTGACACGTCACTCGCTTCGTGTCGATCACTGAAACCACCTCATTCCTCCTCTGTTTGTGTTCCATTCAAGGAGGAAGACGCCAGAGAAGAAGAAAACGGCCGCATCGACCCGGTTGGACGAGCCGACTCCTGCATGGACCACGCCCCCGTGAGGTCACTCGAGTAAGTCAGTCCCTCGTGGATCAGGTTAACTTTTATCGTCAAAACTCTGAAAAATAAAACCTAAACTATAATTTCTCTTTAAGTTGACTTGTTGTGTGAACCGCCTCTCTCTTCTCTTCCTCTACATGCTAAGTGTTTAAAACGTAGACCTGCAGGTTTTGAGTTATAATCCAGGTGTTAGTAGAAAATCTCATTTCCATTCATTTCCATATTTCTCTTCAGCGGGAGCAGAAACCTTCCTGTTCTCGCCGTCAGAGCTCCGCCCACGCACTAACCCGTTCAACTCCCGTTATTAACGACTTCTTGTTTTGTTGTTGTGCTCTGTTGCATGCTTCCAGTTTAATATGCAGGTATGGTATTGTTATTATTCCTGTGATTTCCCAGAGACTTCTCGTGCCTCTCGCTTGTCAACAAGGGGCCGGTTTTCCCCGAGCTAATCATAGTCATCGCGTCAAAGCTGTGAAGTGATTAGATTTGGCGTCTTACAAAATGTTCCTGTGCATATGTTTTTTCGACAGACTAACAAGTGAAGAACGCTGCTTCGGAAAAAACAAATAGCTCCAACTGTATTTGGTGCTTTTTAAAGCGTCCCTCTTTAAATCCCTAAACAGATGTATTAAAATGTTTTGCAGTGAAAATGGCTCCATCGGACTTTCATCTGAGGAGCAGATAAAGACGGGACTAATGTTTTTCTCACTTTCATTAAGCCTGTGTTGTTTTTCAGCTCTGCAGAGCAGTTTGCACGTCAACAATCTTTATCTGCTCGCTGATAAAAGAAAACATTTTTTATCCTACACACGCTGAGAATTTCGAAAAAATTGATTCATTTGCAAAAGTATTTATCTTCACTGTGGACAGCAGCACAACGCACATAGAGAAAGAACTCAAGGTTAAAACAAGGCTTTTATTTTCCTCATTAGATCAGAGAGGAGTCGACGGCAGTTTAATGAGACATTAAACATTTATTTTCTCCAAACAGGAGGCGATGATGTTTTGTTGTTTTGATTTGTGGTTTGTGGTGATTGTTGAATGTTTTTCCTCTAAAAAAAAAAAAAAAATCTGACGTTTCAAAAGGAAACAATAAGTTTTAAATACATCGAGAAGCACCTTCAAGAAAATTCAAGATTTCTATCTATTTATTTGGTTTTCCATCAGAATTAAGTTTATATAGATGTGTCTCCTTCCTCATCACCTCCTGTTATATATCGTCTAAAGTCTAAAATTGTATGTGTGCACGTTTGATTTATTTGGACTGCTGTGTTTTATTGGCCTTTTTGTTTGTCTCCTCCAGCACCTTCTTCCTTCCTGTTTTGATTGATTGATTTAAAACCATTGTTGTTGTTTTTATCGTCTTTTTTTTTTCCTTTCACCATCTCATTTCCTGTTTTTGTTTCTTCCCACATGGTGTCACCCCTCTCCTCCTCTCCTGCTGTACTCCTCCACCCTCGCCCCACCCAACCTCTGTCTCTCCGTCCTCCATCCATCACCGTCCATCCCAGAGACATAGTCAAACTGGTGGAGGTGTCAAACGACGGTGGGCCCCTGGGAATCCACGTGGTGCCTTTCAGTGGCAGGGACCGCAGGTAAAGATCCAGAGCCACAGAGCTGCTCAGACAGGCTGGAGGTGAAGGAGAGGTGTGGGTGTCCGGTTCAACCTGAGAATTTAAAACATAAAATCTATGAGTTAAGAAAATCAATAACCCCACTGTAAGAAAAACAATGGGACGTTAGTATTCATTCATTTTAATTCAGATATATAATCAACACTATATTTGCGTAATTAAAATAAATTGTGTCCTTTTCATTTAGAAGCAGGTTTAAATAATTTTTCATGAATCTTAAAATTTAGATTCAAACAGGAGCAGGTCAGTGGTACAAGAAGAAAACATTCTATTTTAACTTCATGCAGTCTATCAAAGTGTATTTTACACTTTTTAACCTTAGTTGGTTTTCCTCTGTAAGTCTTCATTGTAAACTCTTTGAATTTGGTAAAACTGGTAAAAATCTCATCGTGTGTTGATTTGAGCTTTTTAGGATCTGAAAAAAAAACATGAGAGAGAGGTTTGCTGCATTACCTCAACAAATACCGGACATTCCTCTGGTGCCCGTGTGCAATCTCCCCATCGCTCACACACGAACACACACGAACACGGGTTGCATGCCAGCATCATGAAGCCATTTGCCAGTTTACAGTGATCAATCATACTTGTTTAGAGTTTGCAGGTGACCGTCATATTTCTCTGCAGCTGCTGTCACATCGGCTTTACTCGGTTCAAAGCACACACTGAGCAGTGCACGCTATACACCCATGCACACATGTGTACATACATCACATCCAGAAGCAGACACACACACGCTCACACACACACACACACACACACACAGAATTACTGGACTTCCACATCTGGTTTAAATATATAACGACAGCGGCAGCGTTTTTGATGCAGTGATCCTGAAGTCATGAAGCTCAATATACAGTATACAGTTGAGTTTTCAGACCTGACATTTGGTTCTTATTGTTGAACTAATGCTCAAAGCATTAATCTAAAGTCTTGTGTTTGCCAGAAGCACAGAACCGACTGCAGCCCCACAAACGTCCAGAGTTTCTTTATGTACGACTCACAAATATGATCAGTGACTACAAAACTCACTGTGGCGCTTTATTGAAAATCAAGATCATATCACTTTTCTCTCTGCCAGACTTAATCAGCCTAAAAGCACATTTATAATGCACTTTTCTTTTATTGGGGAAATGTCAGGTTGGGCGTTATCCCAAGATTAAGATGGTCGGCTTTCATCAGTGAAATAGCCCCTCCGCAGCAAATCGCATTGTGTTCTCGCTCAGATTCAATCAGCGGAATTGTCTCTGAACTTTTCCAACTCCTGAACTTCTCTGTAATCACATTCCCATTCATAGTGGATTATAAACCCGAGGCTCGGTCGGATATTAAACCCTAAAATCAACACAATTTACCTGCTCGCACCACCTCAGAGCTAAAGCCTCGCTGCACACGGACACAGACTATATGCTGAAGAGGACTCGATTAGGTTTCCTGCCTGCTGTTGATTTTCTTCCTCCGACTCGGGTCTATAATCCGCAAAGCGTCTTTTCAGGTGGAGTTAGCCTCTCGCTGCGGCTGTGCGGGGAGGCATAAGCCAGTTTGCCACACCGGATTACAGGGCGACAACCGTTGCAGCTCAGCAGCTGGTTGAAGTCGTACAGAGCGACAGAGCAGCCTCTCTCCAACACGCTGCAGAGAACGTTTGATGCTGCTGTTGTCTGTCGCTCTTTAAAAGCACTTTGTTTGTTTTTTTTAATCTTAGAAAAGGTGCAGGAGTTCTAGAGGTTAGAGAATTAACACCTGTAAAGCTCCGACCCCCCCACAGCCTCTAAAGCAGCCTGTTGAAATGCGACTGCACACACACACATCATCAATTACCACATGTGGGCAGCAGGGGCAGCAATGAGGCAAAGACTGAAAACGCTTCAGAAATATTTGCAATTAAATTTTAGTAGAAGAAATAAAATAAATGGACGATGCATTTCCACCTACTCCCAATATACATACAAAAATGTTAAAGCAGTGTTTCCCAATATTTCTCTGGACTGTGGTGGCCACAGTCACGTAAAGTTGTCACCGTCCATGCAGACAGTTGGACATCAGTTTAATAAGTTTCAGCCTCAATTGTACAATTACCCGCGAGTGGCACAAAGTTCTCTCTCCCAAGTGAGAACCGATCTTTCCCTCACATTCGGAATCTGTTGCACGTTTTAGCATTAGCAGGTGGAACTTTGGCTTCGCTTTTAAGGTGTCGTCCAATCTTTATTTGCAGTTTATGCACATGATCTAAAGTCTGAATATCTATTTAGTCCAGAGACCCTGAGTGTTGCATGTCAGTCCAGTAGATAATAAAGTGTGTCCTCCGCCTCAGTCCGGCCCCGGCTGCAGGAAGAGCAGCCACATTGAATCTGAGGACGTTGTCTTGCATCGTGTTGACATGAACCTCTCAACATTTCAGGACTCTTGGCTTGTTGGTCAAGCGTCTGGAGAGGGGAGGGAAGGCCGAGCAGCAGGGCCTCTTCCAGGAGAACGACTGTATCGTCCGTATCAATAACGGAGACCTGCGAAACATCCGATTTGAACAGTAAGACAGCAGGAGCCACTGCTGAGCTCTGATGGTCCCCGGACTTTGTCTTTCTGTACCTCTGCTCCTTCTCTGATTTTGTACCTAAACCTCTCCCCTCTCCTTCCTTTGACGCTGCTCTCCGCACCCCTGCCAGTGCACAGGCTCCTCTGCTGCCTGTCACTGAGCAAAGCTAACCTCCCTGTTTACCTCCTGCAGGTTGTTCCCTTAATCGCTGAAGCAGCCTCTGTCCTCAGTCCTCTCCTCTCCCGGCCTTTATTCCCCTGTGTTCCAGTCACAGCTCCACTGGACTCCTATTGTTACACCTTTCTGTTTCCTTCCCTTGGGAGGAATTGGGAATAAGGCTGCTAACATTCATAGCCTCTGCTTTTCAGTGTCATGCTTTCATTCCCTGCTAAACCGAACCCACCTGCTTACCCCTCCCCCCCTCCCTTTTCTCTAGATCCTGCGTGATGCATGCATGCCCTGTTCAATGTCACCTGCAGCGTCAGGAATGCACTGATGCATACATGAGCTGGATCTGTTTATCTCTACACAGCATAAAGGCATATTGAATATGTGTGTTTTCATGTGAATGGGTGGTGAACAATTTATAATTGTCCTCAAGTGTAATTATAAGTATTCAAGAGTATAAGACTATATCTCGTCTGCTACTTGATCTGTCCTGAAATCATAAATATGGTGAGTCATGACCATCAGGGAGGGTTATTAAAGGCTGGTGGGAGAATCGACTGGGAATTTCACTATAGAATTCTCAGGAGGGGAGGGGGGGGGGGGTTATAGGTTTGAGTTGTCATTCATATATATAGTATACGACGGCAATAGAAATTCCAGGGGGCCGACGTTTTCCCCGAACGTCCGTTCAGCTGTCAGGGAGCGAGGAGAGCAGCCGCAGTCTGCTTTATTGAAACAGGTGGTGCTAACAAGACTCCACCGTTACAGGGTGCTGACAGCCAACATAAGTTTCCATTCACACCAACTGTACACGAGCTCACACCGAAGGGGGTTTAAAAGAGGATTTTCTGCATTTTCCTCCGACAGATAGAAGTATCCTTCATCTGGAGCCAAATCAGGGATTATGTCGGCGAGGGTTCGCTCTCGTTTTAGAAATGCCAGAGCTTGAAAATAAGTATTAATTAACATGTCAGAATGTTCAGGTGGGCGAAAATGGATTTAGCATACAGTAGAGAGTATGGGTGTGTGTGAGCGAGACAGACGGTAGGTAGGTGGAGTTTGTGCAGACAAGTATGAACGTTTATTATTAGCAGAGGCTCAGGAAGATATTAAGAATAAGACAAAGGGATTTTTGGGGCCGATATAGATATTAGGGAGTCATTCCTAAATTATCCCTTCAGAATCCTCATGTCAAAGAATTATTAATGAGGTTATTGTTCAGTTAAATAACAAGTAAATATAAAGAAAACACAAATACAACCAATTATGTAGAAGTTAATGAAGAATAAAATGTTTTCATACAGACAAACATTATCAGATTTCTCTAAAAGGCTTATGTTGCCTGAAATCATTGATTGGACGATTGAAATCAGTCAAATAATCGACTCTGTCCCTTCAATTTTTTCTTGCCTCTCTTCCTCCAGAGCCCAGAACATGTTCCGTCAGGCCATGCGCTCTCCGGTCATCATGTTCCACGTGGTGCCATCGTCCATGAAGGCCCACTACGAGCAGCTGTCCCACACAGAGAAGAACCCGGCGTACTTCTCGGGTCGTTTTAGCCCCGACTCCGTGAGCGGCAGCACCGTCTCCGGGATGGACCACACGCCGCAGAGGATGTCCCGACACGGTTCCCAAACCCACCCGCACTCCCATCCGCATCCTCATTCCCACGCTCATCCGGAACAGAATGACGGCTACCCACCTCTGACGCACCCGGCGGTGTCTGCGGCCAAGCCTCCGACGGGTCACACCCACTCACCGCAGAGGGGGCTGAATGCCACGCCAACGGGGGGGTATGCCAAAAAGGTCGGGAGGAGGCTCAACATCCAGCTAAAGAAAGGTGAGGGGAGGAATCTCTCTGATCAAACAGAAACATGTTTTCAGCCCGTCCAGACTAAAACACAGCGTTTCCGATCTTTGGATCGGCTGATTCCGCTCACATCTTGTTTTCCTGTCTCTCACTTATACGAAGGATTCTTTGTGATTTCCAAGACTTTGTCGTCCAACTTAACAAACAAGCAATTTTCCCCTCACTGCTGGCACATGAACACGTGTAGGAACAAACACAGAAGCATGCAAAGTCTTAACGCTGATGTAACAGGCTTAAAAACATCCGGGGTTTAGCGTCCCGAGGCCAGGAAACCGTACAGTCTCTGGGAGGTGGAGATGCTGAGTGAAAGAGTAAAAACTTTCGGGGAGATCTCCTCGGTTCAGTCTGTGAGTGACAGCTGGCACAGGTGGTGCGGACCTATGCCAACAGGGTAGCAGGTGTCGGTGCCAGGTCTCGGGGCCGGAGAGCTTGTTGCTAAGCAGCCGCCGGTCCCTGTGTTCTGTCAAATGCCACAGAAAGAGTCTGACGGGGCTGCGCCATATGCCCGTTGAAGTTTTCACCCGTATCTGTTCGCCCTCTCGGGGCTGGAATGGAGCCAGAACACGGAAGATAAAAACACCCATCTGCTTGTTGCATATTCCATCGCTGCTCGTGGCTATTTCCACTTGTTCCTCCGTCACAGTTCTTTTTTTCCTTCTTCTCTCCCGCCTCTCGTCTTTGTCCTAACACGCAGGAGAAAACGCTGCACGCTGTGTAACGTTTGCCGGGAGATCTGTTGTGTTCTCACTCAAAGATGTTATCTTTTCTCATTCCACCTTTTGTTCGCTGTTGTCGGAGCAGACACTTGCGGGGATCAACAGTGATTCCCGAGAGGCCGTTTGGCTCGTCTGTTTTGTTTTGAGTACCGACTTTAAGCCCAAAGCTTTGAGCGCAGATTAAACTCCCGCATTGTTTATGTGCTTGAATCAAACACTGGTCTGCTTGCAAATCCCGGGGAGTATCAGAATCAATCAAAGAATCCCATTCTGCACAGGAAATTGCTTAGGTACGTCTTAATCAGGCTAATGGGAGTTTTAAAGATCCTCCTCCCTGTTTAAAGCCGGGGACGCTACAGGCATTTACCGGTGAGGATAATACCGCACCTCGTCTGCCTGTGGGAAGTTGATTGGCTCATCAATGTAGGGGATTATGTGGAGGATGTGAAACAGAATAGCTAAGTGTTCTGCTTTTCTTTGCATCAAGTCAGTCAGACAGGCGGCGAGGATTAGGGCCGGGACGCTGATACAGCACCGATGCTCATAATTGTTCATATATCTTTGTTTTGCCCACAATGCCATCCGGAGCAGACTCTGTACAAACCTCTGAAGAATAAAGTGCCTCCATCAGAGCTGTGGGAGTGTGGGTGTGGTCAGTCTGGATTCTTGTGGACAGTGGTTAGTCTAAAAGGGCAATTCTGGTATTTTTCCACCTGGGCTCTATGTTTATAAATGTGAGTTTGTGAAGGTACAGAAACTTTTGGAGTCGGTGCATTAGATGGCCTCTAAACCACTGATTCCATCTAATTGATTTCTGATGATTCAATCCAATGATTCTTCTGCTGGGGATCCAGAGTTATGTTTTTGCTATTTTCCTAAAGCTGAAATTTTTCCATCTTGATCAAACTTGAATCTTTGCTGTAACACTTAAGCCAAATGTCTCCTCGGACTGTTTTCCCTGCACCTGAGTCACACTGGTTCAGTTCAAACTGTATCCTGAGCTGCAGGGTTGTTGAGGAAGTAGAGGAGCTTCTGCTTGTTTCCTCAAGATAAAACCAGATTCTCATCACAACACCTTCTGCCCTCACTTCACGTCCCACAGGTCCCGAGGGACTCGGCTTCAGTATCACGTCACGGGACGTCCCCATCGGCGGCTCGGCACCCATCTACGTAAAGAACATACTGCCTCGGGGAGCTGCCATCCAAGATGGACGCCTCAAGGCAGGAGACAGGTTGCTGGAGGTGAGGAAATGAAAAAGTTTAGTAAAAAAGACTTAGTAGTTAAAGGAGTTCTGTGCCGTCAGTTTTCTAATTTGAGATCAATATCAGAACATTCGTGTCCATGTCTCTAACATGTCTCCTGCTCAGGTGAATGGTGTGGACCTAAATGGGCGGACCCAGGAGGAGGTGGTCTCTCTGCTCAGGGCCACGCCCATGGGTGGTGCCGTCGGGCTGCTGATCCTCCGCCAGGAAGACACCTTCCTCCCCCGAGAAGTGGTACGTTTGTCACTCTCCAGCTCTTTTGAAACATTCCTTCAACTCTTCATCCTGTCGGCATTAAAACACTTCCCACCAGTACACGCTCCCCTCCGTGCATGGATGAGTGTAGAGTTTTGCTCCTGTGCTGTCATGAGTGGCGTTAATCCCCCCAGTGAGTGGCGTGTTGTCTTCTCATTTCCCCGCTAACACAACACGCTAGCCGAGCATGCAGAGTGATTGTCCCACTCCGTCGCTGCACTCCTCTCTATTAATCAAGCCGTGGCTGGCCTCAGAGGAAACCTGTGGCGCTCAATCGTTTCTCTTTATCTCCACCACCCTCTCCTCTTCTCCGTCTTGGCCTCCGTCTTTCTTTATCCGCTACCGCTTACGCTCCTTGCGTTCCTTATTCACCAGTCCTCCCTCTTTGCTCTCGCTTTGTGACGTAGCTTTCTCTATCTTTGCGTCTCCTCCGCTCTCACTGTGTTTTGCCCCCGAGCTGACTTGCCAGATTGATGGATGTGGGGATGAACAGAGAGACGCAGGGCAGGTAGTAGTCAGAGAGTGAAAACACACTTGGCTTGAATATCAATCAGGCGACATCATGCATATTACCCAGTGCGAACAGCCATAGAAATCTGTGGAAGCGCTGCGTTTGGATGCGACTGCTGTCACTCCGGCCGGGCAGATGCCACTCACAGCTTGTAACTTCAGTGATCCATGCAAACTGGTGCTAATTCACTTGGTGCGCTTGTTACAACCGTTCGCTCCTGTCAAGGTCGTGCTTTTAATGTTTGATGCCAGATGTTATGCTGCATTATTTCTGCAGGAAACAGAGTTTGATGCATCGCACATCTGGAGTCACCTCGGCTCTGCTTCATCAAGAAGCGAACTCATAATGGCTGAGAGGAAAACAAGGCAGCAGAACGTGGAGGCTTAAGTGCTTTGTTTTGGTTCAAACCCACTTTATCAAGTACGAATGTGAGTTAAAGACCCAAGCACCCCTACGCTGTCATAAAAATGGTTTCTCCCAGCATCCTCCGCAGTCGCTGGGGCCATTATAGGCACAGGCAGCCATTTGCTCGCAAGTGCTGTCAATCAAACGGCTGATTGGTGACAATTATCACAGTAGGAGATGTAGACGAGGCTATTGGCTGCCTGTCGCCACGGGTGAAGCTGGATGAGAGGAAGTGCCGCACTGGTCGATACTCATCTCCAGATTAGAGCGTTGCTTTGAGTCCAGCCGACTGAGCGTCGTTAGATGGTCGGATTTATTTGATCCGTGGTTCTCGGCTGTGGAGGGAGGAGAGGGTGAGGTGAAAGACTCGAGGGAGATGAGGTCCAGTGCACAAAATGAGCAGCGTCAGTCTTTATCTGGAGTCATGAGCTGGGCTAAGCTCAGAGGTAGAGGAGGCCACACGTCAGGTCGGTCAACATGAAGACATCACATCATCATTAAAAATACAAAACGTGAGCGAAAACCAGCTCAACACAGTTTAAAGAGTTAACGGCAGATTTTAGGTTTGAATTGAAAATGGCAGTTACTGAGCTTTGTTAATCAAACCTGATGTTTTGTAATGAAAAACAAAGTCAACAGCTGTTATATTATTTCTACAGGTTGTGCCAAAGCTCAACAAGAACCCACTGCACTTATGATTTTGATCCTTAAGCAGTTTAGTTTTAAATTGTATAAAAATAATAATAATATTGAGAGAACACGTCGGTTGACATTTTGTCCTTGTGAGCACTCCTGCAGTTTCTAACCCACAGTTTATATTCCAGGTCTGAGCACACGTGCACCACACAGCACTAACATCTGTCTGCGTGTTCATATCTTGCATGGCTGTTTATTCACCACGCTGCCTCCATTTATCCACAAGTTCCCCCACAACGATCTCCTTTGTGGTCAGATTTTCACTGTTCCTTTAAAAACAGTCACATGTTTGTTTGTTTGTTTTGACTTGATAACGTTTGGTTCTTCTGTCCCTCCCCTCCCCCTCCCTCCATCTTCTAGAACGCTGAGCCCCAGATGCAAAGCCCCAGAGATTCGGTGAGACTCCACCACCAACACCAACCTGCAGTGTTACATCCACACTACTACGCTTTTACTTCGACAGCGTTGTTTTAAAACTGAAACTATCTCCGTCCACACGAGTGTTTTGGCTCAAAGCTCATCCATGAATTCAGGTTCAGAAGTAAACTAGCTGGTTAATCAAAGTGAAAGTCACTAGTCGTGCATGTAAATGTTTGTCATAAACACTCGTTTTAATCTCCACCCAGAGTTGCTCCAACAAATCACAATTTCACGGTTCATCAGCATGGAGCGCTCAGACTGTGCTGCAGTATAATATGCTCCATCACTCGGCTCAGAGCCGTGTTTGTCAGTGAAGGTGGGAACACATGGACGTTTGCTTTATTTGACGGCCGTGGATAAGGTTGTCAGTCTGACCCGCTCGCTGCAGACTCGCTCGGACGTGTGACGGGAATGACAAACAGTCTGTTTAGTTTGTGTTGCACTTCATTGGGGGGAAAAACGCAGACAGAGCCGACGGCGCACGTCTCCGTGCTGAACGCCCACAAAGACCAAGACAAATTAGATGCCATCCATAACGAGGGTGACTCGACATTCTTATCGTAATACATCGTTTCTACAGGAAGCCAGACGTGATGTGTTTTCACCCTCCTGACTGCAAGGGATCGTTGTAGCGTGAACCAGTTTCTCTTTGCAGTGAAATTCATATTGAGTGGCAGGAGACAAGCAGGAGAAATACATGTACATTGTTCAAATAATTTAGGGAGTGTTAAGAAATATCTTATTTATGTTTCTATGTAAACATGTCAGAGTTTTGTATTTCTTTCATCATTTAACCTTTTAGCCGAGGTTGCACAGAGTGTTTTAAAGATACCTTTATCACGGTGAGCAAATAAATCAAAGTAGACACTGGAGGAGCAAGTCAGCCGTCTTGATGCCAAGTTCATATAAATTCTTAAATACACACAAAACAATGTTTTCAATCTGAAATCATATTTGGAGGAACTACACACAAGGTTTTCCACACTGGTCATGAGAAGAATCAGCTGTCGGCAGCTTCAACCACAGTCTGGACGTCTTGAACGTCACACATGACCTTAAAAGGATCCAGCAGCTGTTAAACGCACATCTGTCTTCACTGCTCGTATTAAAAAGCGATTCAGATTTTCATAACCTTCCATTTACATACCAAGCTCGAGTTGTAATTTCACAAAGCGCGCACTTCACATCTTCACATCTGGCCTCACCTCCAGTTTGCATCTGGCCAAGTGCAGGTAATTGGTCGGCACATTAGAAGCGTAATTGACCGTTTAATCTGATTCGCGCTCGTACCTGCCAGCTGCGTGCACGATTATTGTGGCGGCTGAAACGTCTCACACGTGGCCAGACGCTCAGACCCGACGACATGTGACACATCTTTCCTGCAGCGTTAGATTTAATGCAGAGGAAGAACACCGGGGATTTGTTTCTTTCTAAATACCTGTTGTGTTTTGGGTGAGAGCTGCCAACTCTCACAAATGTTACATCCTGTACAAACCTTGTGAGCGTTGTACTTTGTCATTTCAAGGAACAGCAGCGGGGAGAGTTTCAAAACTTCATTTCTTCAGTGTTGGGTTTATTTATTTTCCTGGAATTGATGTAAAAGTCTAATAGTTGGGTCGAGCGCCTGTTGGAAGCTTTTTTTTTGAGCCACTATTGTCTCATGCTCTGACAGGACATCATGGGGATAGATCATATATTGCCTAACGCACCTCTCAGGGCTCAGGGAAGTGAGGGAAAGTGTTTTCTCCTATTTTGGATCTTGACCTCCCTAAAAATCAATGTGACCGCAGGGACTTGAGTCAGACAGATTGAGGAAATGCACCGTGACCATGCTGTCTCCTCTCTGCCCCCATTTTGTCTCCCCTCACCTCCCTCCTTTCCTGCCCTCCTGCCTCCAAACCTCCACATGAGCCTCTCCTCTCCCTTTCCCGGAACATCAACCACCGTAATGGACTCAGTACCTTTCAGATGTTATCTGTTGTCAGGCGTCTCATTTTAAACATCTCGCCGCTGCTGCTGCTGCTGCCGCCAACAAAAACAGCAGCAACAACAACACAGGCTCTGTGCTGCTGTTCAGCTTCAGCTTTTAATGGACAATCATCCATCGTCAAGTAAAAGATTTGTTTCCTGTAGATGGAGAGAGAATTAAAGTTTGAGAGGTGGAGCAGTGAATGATTTCAATATTAGTGTCCATCATTTGTTTAATAGAAAAGTGCAATTAGTTTAAAATCCAAAGTAAAAAGCTTGCAGAATTTAGTATAATATTTAAATACATGGTTTGGAGCTGGCACTTTTGAGGTTGCCCTGCTGTGACTCCTCCTGAGAGAGAGAGAGAGAGCTGTGTCGAGGGTTACACGGCAGACAAAATGCAACAGCTGAAGTGGAAAAAGCTCTCACTTCTAGAAATCGCTCCAGTGATCCAAACATCACCCACGTTTTTACAGCAGTCCACTAGAGGCTGTCATTAGCTGTGACGCGCTGGATTGTTGAATTCGGCTTTCAGGCATGTGGGTGGCTAAAACGCACACACAGACACAAGCTGCTGTAGACATCAGATATTTGTGTATGTGAGAACGCAAATGTCCGGAAAATCTCTGTTGATAAGGGCAGAGGCAGGTGTCGATGTGCCGTAAACAAAGAACGCGTGATTAATGCAGTTAAACTTCACGTCCGGCCTCCTGCTGCTCTACCCAGGCTCCACCTCGCACCTTTATATGTTCAGGACATTTTCCTGTTGTTGTGACTGAACAAAAAAATTGCCTTTCTACTTGATTCATAATGTTGAGGTGCATTTGTGGATCTTTAACCCCTCAGCTGTGACTGTCAGCCCCTTTACTCACCATATTCTTATATTTCTCTTGATGTCCCTCCCTCCCTTATTGTCAGTGACTGCTCTCCGAAGGGCCGAACTTGTGTCTAACTTGTTGACTTGTCCACTGCTCCCTTTAGCAACCAAGGCAGCCGGTGATAGCCGGGAAACCCCATTGGCTGATTGAGGTAATCGCTGCATGACATCACAAGCTTTGGGCCATTTTGCTGCATAGGGGAAAAAGGCAAATGAGATACTTTGGCCGGCTGCACAAATAGACTGGGAGTCATTTAAGTAATTTGTTGCTTTGCCAATGGGCTGTAAAAACAAAACACTTCAGTGGGTTTTCTCTGTCTCTTTTCCTAACGGCTCTCTCTCTCTCTCGTTGTCTGTTCAATTTTCTTTTAGTTTTCCTCTTGTTTCCGCCTCTTTGTTACGACTCTTCATCTCTTTATTTCCCTCCATTCCCTCTCTCCTCCCCATTTCCTTCTCTCGCTCACACACACACACACACACACACACACACACACACAC